GGGTTGGCCTAGTGCAACTCTGTGGCTTTCTTGAGACATTTGAATAGTACAGAATTTCATTTAAAAATGTTAACCAACACATTATGTTTACTCATGGTTGAAGGCATGGCTCTTGGCTGTTCCTCTTTTTTCTGCCTCACTCTTACCAGTGTAGATGACAGAGCCTTGAGACTCATCTAAGCCTTGTGAGACTCCATACCGTGTTTAAAAAATCATGACTGTTTTTTTGGTTACATGTTACAGAGTCATTATTTAATTCTGAATCTAGCTTTAAATTTTTGTTTAAAGTAGGATTTTTTTTTTGTTCCCACTTAATGCTATTGAGTAGGTATATTTGTGTTGCCGCTTACTTGAGGACTAATAATTGTAGTTGGCCATGAAGCAAAAATCACATATTTCTAAATTATCCTTTTAAAAGATTCATTAAATTGCCCGTAAATCACAATGTAGACCAAAGTATGCAGTACTTTAGAGACTCTCAATACTGACAAATATCCAGGTTTATCTCTAGTAGAAAAGAACAGTTGAGTACCAAATAAAGTAGTTTGCATTTTATCATCTAATGTGCACTAAAAATAAATTTGTAAGCATGAGAACACTCAGAGCAGTGTGATGTTCATACTATGAGAGGCATTTAGGATGTGAAAGTGAGAAGTGCCTTTCAGCCACCTCCCCTCTTCCTCTCCTTTCATTGCTTTCTTTCTTTCTTTTTTTTTTTTTTGAGACGGAGTCTTGCTCTGTCGCCCAGGCTGGAGTGCAGTGGCTGGATCTCAGCTCACTGCAAGCTCTGCCTCCCGGATTCACGCCATTCTCCTGCCTCAGCCTCCCGCGTAGCTGGGACTACAGGCGCCGCCACCTCACCCGGCTAGTTTTTTGTATTTTTTAGTAGAGACGGGGTTTCACCGTGTTAGCCAGGATGGTCTTGATCTCCTTACCTCATGATCCGCCCGTCTCAGCCTCCCAAAGTGCTGGGATTACAGGCGTGAGCCACCGCGCCCGGCCTCATTGCTTTCTTCTCCTTGATTTTGAGTTGATTGTTGTATATTTATAATGGAATTCCCCAGGGTCATATTGTTTCAACAGCACATTATGAAACAAGTACTTTTAAATTCACATTCAAACACAGAGTCAAAGTAGAGGTTCTTCTTTGAATGAACCCTACATTGCCTTTGGGGGGTGGTCATCATGTATGATTTTTAAAAATTGTTAACATCTGAAGCTAAAATTCATTTTTTGTATTAAGTCTAATACATTTTAAAACTTAAGGGTAGGTTTTAAAAAAATGTTCAGTAAGGGTTTATTTATACGATTTTTGTCACTGCAATTTGATTGTTTCATTCATTGCTTTCTTTGTAATACTATTTCTTCCAAATATCATGCTTTCATTGGTTTTATGAACAGATTTATACTTTAGAGTGTGAGCAAGGATGTTCTGTTAAATAAATGGGAAAATTAATCCTCCGGAATTTATAGTGTCATGTGGAAGTGAATAGTATGTTTCCTTTTGTAGCATTTCATCCAGTTTTCTCTCCATCCTTTATTTGATACATGAACAAACTACATGAATGAAGAACACCACTGTGTTTTCTTAAATAACTTTTCAACTTCAGTAACTCGTGCAAGGATCAAATGTGAGAGAAATAGAGAACCTCAGGATCAACTCAAGTGTTTGGGAAAAAGGACTGAAAATGAGGTGGGATAGTTTCCAAACTGACCTGCTCACATTGAAAGGATTCTTGTTTCTTAAGGAAGCCATGGAGTTTTATCAGCTTAAAAGTGAGTGGTTTGTACGATGAGTTTTTTTTTTTTTTCTTTTAAACTTACTTTTGAAACTTCCATTCTTGTTCATGGATTGTGATTTGTTAGAATAGTGATTATTTTGTTTTTATGAGATGTTTCTTGTATTTTTATTTATTTATTTTTAAGGCAGAATCTCGCTGTCACCCAGGCTGGAGTACAGTGGCTCGATCTCAGCTCACTGCAACCTCCACCACCCAGGTTCAAGCAATTCTACTGCCTCAGCCTCCCGAGTAGCTGGGATTACAGGCGTGTGCCACCACACTCAGCAATTTTTTGTATTTTTAGTAGACACAGGGTTTCACCATGTTGGCCAGGCTTGTCTCAAACTCCTGACCTCAAGTGATCCACCGGCCTCGGCTTCCCAAAGTGCTGGGATTACAGGCGTGAGCCACCGCGTCCGGCCTGTTTCTTGTATTTGATGATGAAAATGTTACTGACAGTGAGTATGGGGGCTCGGTTTAGCAACAGGGTGTTAGAAAGGCAGCAGTAACATTTTGGTTCTCAAAACATTTGATGTCTTATTCCTTTTTTAGAACATGGATTTTGCTAAAAAATGCCAGCCATTTTGAAACTTGATTTTATCGTCATGTTCTCATTTTGAGATTCATCTTATTGTTTATATGAATTGGCGGCCATATGTGGGAAATTTCAGTTTTGCATATTTTCAGATTATTTTCATTTTTACATCAGAGATTTTGAACAGATGCTATACAAAAGTATTCCTTTATTTATTCAACAAAAGTTTAGTGCTGGCTATGTTGCAAGCACTTAGTGAACTTCATGCTGTACATGCCTCAGATGCTTTTGTGAATGTAATGGCAACATCAAAAACTTTGCCCTTATGCACCTTATAAACCTTTAATTTCAAGGCATGTTGATGAGTGGGCATCTGGTATAATGTACTGTCATGGTCATTTAATTCACCATTATTTGGGTATACCTTATATTAAAACTGATTATTGAAAACTGGAAACTATCGAAACACAGCTTTATCTTGCCTTTTTCCTTAACATATATAGATCAAGGGAGTACCTGAGAACCAATTTTAGGGATAGTTATAAAAATCTTAACTTTGCAACTATAACCTTGTCCTCAAAGTAATAACTGGAAAAAGTAATTTATGTTTCAAAACCTTTCATCTTTGTATTTTTTTGAAAAGGAGCCTTCGCCGAGATTCTTTGAAAATTCTTGCTCTGTCCTTCAGTAGAGCCTTATAGACTCATGGATATGGTCCTCTAATGGATCTGGAGCACCTCTGTTCTCTGATTGTCACCCTCCTGTGTTGAAAATTAAAGCTTATTTTCATTTCACGTCTAGGATGTAGTATATTCTTGTTGGGAAAACATGATGTTGCTTAAGAAATAAGTGCCTTCAGTATCACTCTGTGTCACTCAATAAACATGACTAATATCTACTTTTACCAATTGCTGCAATTTGATCCTTAAACAGCCATCTTTAAATTATACTTTTTCTTTAGTTAAGGTAACTATATTAGACATTAATTATTTTTACATACTTTTCTTATGTGGACTGACATTCTTAGAACTAAACCTTTCAGATGTTTATATTACAAGTATCACTATTATTTTGTATTATTATTAATGTGTCATCTCTTTTTCTCTGTAGCCATATGTAATCAACTCTCTTCCTTTTACTTCCTTTTTTGAATCAAAAGGTTACACTGTGTACAAGCAAGAGCAACAGCTCTATATCGGGTTCACTGCAGTGCTTAGAAGATGCAACAGCACAATTTACAAATCCAAATTTCCAGGAAGTCTCTGCAGGGACCTCTAGTACAAAAGAGGCTTCAGAGACTAGAGGGTCAGAGGGCAAAAAGAAGAAATTCAACTCCCAGCTCAGGTCAAAAGGGAAGAAAGCCTGGTGTTGAAAGAAATCCAGGAATGACTGCGTCTGCAACTAGCCCCTTTCTGTAAAGTATTCATGATGTTTGAGTTAAAATATTTGTTCTTATGATGATCAATAATATGAATAGTTACACTTTGTAAAAGAATTTATTCTTATAATTAATGGATCATTCTAAATTATTATATGTTTAGTTGCTGTAGTAAGATGACATCAAAGATTTATTGCCTGTTAAATGTTTCTGGGATCTTTGCTTTATTTTTATATTATGATCTGTGCTTCCACAGTTGAGCTGTAATTTTATTGTTTATACAAACGTAGAATAAAGCTTAAGTTTGGGGAGAAAAACAAAAGCCAGAGTTTTCCTTTCAGCTCTACAGAACAGTCATTCATTTCTATAAATGTTCTTTATGTACCTTTCCTAGTTCCACATTTAAAAAGATAAATGTGGGTATCTACACAGGTCTCAGTAAATAATAGTTGTTGATTAATAATGCATTTATTATAAAGCCTGAAGTTTAAAGTAGAATTTTGCTCAGCCTGCACATCTTTTATGGTCAGGCTGCTATAATTATGTAATACCCGGTTAAATTTCAGTTTCAGATAAACAATGAATATTTTAGTTTAAGCATGTCCCAAATATTGCATGGGATATACTTACACTGAAAAAATTATTTGTTTATCTGAAATTTAAAATTAACTGGACATGTTATATTTTCTGTGGCAACCCTGTTTTATAGAGAACAGAGTAACTCAGCTAAATTTTAGAATACTTAACCTTAATCTGGTGTTCTAGGTCTTTATTTGTAATTATTATTATTATTTGGAGTCAGGGTCATGCTCTGTCACCCAGGCTGGAGTGCAGTGGCACAATCCCAGTGCACTGCAGCCTTGAGCTTCTGGGCTCAAGTGATTCTGGCACCTCTGTCTTTGCCTCCCAAGTAGCTAGTACCACAGGTATGTGGGCCCAGCTAAGTTTTTTTTTTTTTTTTTTTTTTTTTTGTAGAGACAGGGTCTCAGGCTGGTCTGGAACTCCTGGGCTCAAACAGTCCTCCCACCTCTGCCTTCACTTCCCAAATAGCTGAGACCACAGGCACATGCCACCACCATACCCAGCTTATGTTTCATCAGGTTGGTGCAAAAGTAATTGCACCACAAATAATTCTTTGTGGAGACAGGATCTTGCCCTGTTGTCTAGGCTGGTTTCCAACTGCTGGGCTCGAGTGATCCTCCGGCCTGGGCCTCTAAAAGTGCTGGGATTATAGATATGACCCACTGCACCAAGTTACTTTGTATAATTTTTAACATAAACATAAATATTTTGAGAAGTAGAAATGTTAAAACCCTTGGAGGAAAATGTAAAGTATACAATAGAAAAAAAAATCAAACAAATATAACATAAAATTATCAAAATTTTCAGAGGAACAAAACAAAATCCAGTTTTTGCAATCTTCAGGATTCAATCCCATTATATCAAACACATAAACATATTCATAGAAAAAGGCAATCAATAGAGACTGACCTCAAGATGACCCAGATGTTGGAATTAGTGTGCATTTTTAAAGTAGTTATTATAATTCTTACTAAAATAAAAACTCCAAAAACCCTTATAGTAAATGGATAGGAAATCACAGTAGACAAGAAGAAACTACAATAATAACAAAGGTTCAAGTGGAAATTCTAGAAGTGAGAAAGTTTTCCAAGTTAAAAAATAATAATCAGTTGTCTTCAGGAGCAGCTTGGAGGTGGTAAAGAGTCAATGAACCTAAAATACAATTGAAATTATTCAATCTGAAAAATGTGAGCAGTCACAGGTTGGAGTGTGTGAGCTTTTCCTTTGGTTAGTGCTTTTAGGTAATCTTGGCTTTGATAAGATTACTAGCTACTGATCTGTCAGGGCCTAAGCCAGAGTTCATCTTGGTCTCAGTAGTGGTTTAAACAAAACTCATGATATCCTTGTGTTCAAGATGGAAGAAGAGTGGACCAGATGACAATATTTAGATACAGTCATTCTTAACCTCTTGTTGCTCTCCCAATGGTCTAGCTGGGGTTAGTATAAAGCGGAATGGGAGAAACAGGGATGGAGACTCCACCTACCCTCTCCATTTGTCCACTTCTCCTCCTTCACTAGTGGATAAAGTCCATGGGAATAGGCAATGTATTATTTCAAATCTGTATCTTCTGTTGTCAAGATCTGTAATTAGTTCTGCTCGCTGGACTGGGGTCAGGAACCGAGGGAACATGAGGGTGAACGAGGTGACATGGAGTCCAAGAACACACTGTGCCTGCATGTAGAATGTTTGTGCCAGGAAAACCAGTCAGCAGGCAGATGGTCTCAGATACCAAGTGGGAGGCAAGATTCAGTCTCGTGAAGGCGGTGATCCTCAATGTGTGTGCTTCGTATCACTTGCTTCGGAATAACCTGGAGTACTTGTTCACATGCAAATATGGAACCTAGTCCTAGACCTGCTAACCCTGCGTCTCCACGGATGGTCTCAGCAGTCGACACTGGAGACCTGCTAAGCCTGCGTCTCCACGGATGGGTCTGGGCAGTCGACATTGGAAACGTGCAGGTCCCTCGGAGACGCTTATGCAGATAAATTTGAACTGTTGTGTTTAAGGGTTAGGGAGCCGTCAAAAGCAAGGAATAGACCAGGCCCTTGGGTGGGAAGGTTGCACAACCTTGGCACTATTAACATTCTGGGCGGAACAGGATTTGGCCACGTGCTTCGCAGCATCCCTAACCTCTACCCTCTAACACCGTATCCCCGATGTGAAAACCAAAAATGTCCCCTGGGAGGCAAAATCGTCACCAGTTGGGAACAAGAATCACTGCTTTGCGGGATCAGAGTAGTTACTTTGTTCCCAATCCAAGGATCAGAACCCAAGATGAGACAAAGTGCAGCTATCGGAACTGGAGGGCCAAGCTGAAGCTAGACCTACAAAAATGCTCCAAAAACTCCTTTCTAGGCCTGATCCCGTGCCTCAGCTACCGAGCTTGTACAGATGCCATGTAACTCTAGATCTGGTGACTGATGGAATTCAAAGGCTAGAACTTGATAGGGTCTTTCAGGTTAGGCCAGCACACAACGTGGACTTTTGACAACATCCAGATGCTTGAACCAACCTCAGTCCTGAGGCAGAATTTCCCGTGACTTCTGATCCCCAGCCTGGGTGTGGAGTACTCACTGGGATTAGATGCCACGGGAATATTGTGTTTAGGAACTCTGAAAGAGACAGGCTTCAACAAAGCAGACCTAAGCAACACTTAGCATCTGAACTTCTTCAGCTTCCATTCCAGGCCACAAGGACAAAAGCTTCCCATACATATCCACTGTGGCTGACCCGTCCTCAGTAGGGAGATTCCCCAGCACTGACCTCCCCTCTGTTCTGAGCCTACTTGCTCTTTTGTAATGTTTCCACTTTCGGTCCCACTCCCTAACAGATGGTTTGTCCTCTCCACCTGGCCCCCTAGTTCTGACATTTGGGCTGCCTGTGATCTGGGTAGTACTTCGGAGGCAGAATCAAAGCCTTGTTGATTGGATTGGGAATTTCTAACTTCCCATGAAAGGCACTGATCAAGCATCTATTGTATAAAGTAAAGACTATGATCCAGTAAGACAGATTCCACAAGCAGCGCAGGAAGAATTGGTTTCTAGTACACTGCATGCTTTAGGACAGGAAATCCAGAAAAAAATTCTGTGGTACATTAAGTGTGTACTATAAGTTTCATTTCCGTGTGCAAAATTGTAGTTAGCTAAAAAGTACATCCATGAAGAATCTTGATTAAGCTTGTTTAATCCTGGTTAAACTAGTTACTAAACAGTAATTTCACAACAACTCAAGAACTCTGTAAAAGCATTTCCTCTGCGTATTTTATTCAGAAAAAAACACAAAAAGATAAGGCAGAAACAAAAATCCCACTCATTTGCAGTATCTGTCGGCTTTCAATTTGGCTCTCCTAAGCAAAGAAAAATAATACAATTAAACTATGTAAAACATGCCGTATATATTCAACTGCTACTAAATATAAAAAGCTTTAAAACTGTGTGGTCAATTTTGGTTATTACCACAACACTTATATTGAAATATGTATACTTTTAAATTTGGTTTCTATAAAAAATGGATTCTAATCTTATAAAAGTTATTTCCTAATAGTCAATAAACATTGTCTAAGGGCTTTTTCAATCCACAATAGCAATTTTAATTATTCTGGAATTTAAGGGTGCTCTAAATTTCCATTCAACAGGGTGAGAATGCTGTATTATTAGAAGTGATAAAAGTTACAGGACACAGAGCTTATGCCATTTTAGAATCCACGTCCTGATTGTATTTTATATCCTCTTCTTGATTTCTTCCATCTAGATACATATTCATTTGCTCGGCTGGAAAAAATTCTTAACATTATGTACTAACTTTAGGTATGAAGTCTACCAGCTAGTTAACAGGAAATATGTAATTAAACATTGCCTTATCAAGAAATGTAAAAAAAGGGTAAGAGTAACTTTGCAACATAGGACTTCAATGAGCGGCTGGTGATTATCAAAATCTGGCACTTAATTGATTTATACTTGGACACTTACAGCTAAACGTCTCTGCCTGTTTTCCTACGTTGTAAATCTAGGACATTACTTATCCACATAGGAAGAATAATAAATATTAATAATGTGCTATGACAAACATCCTGCACTTTTCCAAATCTTACAATAAAACTGCTTCAATTTCACTTGTGTGGCTTTTAGATTTTTAGCTGATCTATTCTTATTTTAAGGAACCTGAACCACTCTAACAGAATCCACATAATTTTTATATTAGTCAAACTGCTTCTTTCTAATTCTGGTTCTAATAGTTATAAAAAGATAATGATAAATTTCTGAAGTAGGTCAGTCAAACCTGAATTCAGTCAAACCTGAATTTCTTAAAGTATATACTTAGAATTGGTTATAATTTTTAGATATTCTTTCTTGACAGTCTTTTCCCAAACTTATGATGTCCTCTCTAAGTAATATTGCCACATTCATAAATTAGAAATAAAGACAAAAATGTGAAAAGTATAGTAATTTAAGAGAACACAGGTTTTCTACACACCATTTCTATTGGCTACTGAAAATAGTGGAAATAAGTAAATAGCTACCTGTCCAGAATCGTCTCATGCAAAAATCCATCTTTCCGAGCCTTTTTAAGAATTTTACCTTCTTCTTTACTTATGCTAAGTTTGTGGTCTTGGAAGCTCTGAAATTTCTTTTTGCAAAGAAAATGTCTTCATTGAAAAATACCTCAAACTCTGATTATACATATTTACTATTAAATTTATAAATACTGCTAATTTCTTTTTCACTTATTAAAAAAGTCTAACTGTAGGCCAGGCGCAGTGGCTCATGCCTGCAATCCCAGCACTTTGGGAGGCCAAGGCAGGCAGATCACTTGAGGTCAGAAGTTCGAGAACAGCCTGGCCAACATGGTGAAACCCCATCTCTACTAAAAATACAAAAATTAGCTGAGCATAGTGGCACGTGCCTGTAGTCCCAGCTACTCAGGAGGCTGAGGCAGGAGAATCACATGAACCTGGGAGGCGAAGGCTGCGATGAGCCGAGATCACAACACTGCACTCCAGTCTGGGCGACAGAGAGAGACTCTGTCTTAGGGGAGACAAAAAAAAAAAAAAAGTCTAATTGTATTTTTTTTTAATAAGCTGGAGCTTTTCAACCACAAAGATGACCTCCGTGACCCCTCAAAAGGAGGGCCGCTCATTGGGAAGAACCATAAGGCCCCACTTCTATTAGGGCATGCCGGCTGGAGTCCCCCGTGTCCTGGCCCTAGCACAGCCTTTGACTGGCATCACACCCATTCGATGAACGAACAGGGAGACGGACTAACCCGGATGACGTTCGCTTTGAGAGCTGTAGGATGATTCGGAAAACTGAAGCCTTGAGAAAAGCACTGAGCTCAGGGCTCTGTCCCAGAGGCTACATTGCGTTGCCTCTTCTTGTCCATCAGTTTTAATTTAATTTTGTCAGAGAGGGTCTTGCTCCATCATCCAGGCTGGAATGCAGTGGTTATCAGAGCTCACTGCAGCCTTGGACTCCTGGGCTCAAACAATCCTCCTGTCTCAGCCTCCCGAGTAGCTTGGCCTACAGGCATACACCACCATCCCCAATTAATTAGGTAATGTATTTTGAAAGTACTTTGAGAAGCACTTCACTGTCAAATCTGTAGGTCTAAAAGGAAAAGAACACATACACATAATTGATTTCACATTGTTTTACATTTCCTTTGTCTTCTTCTGGAATGTCATCTTTTTCTTGGTTTCTCTTTCAGCACAGGATGTAATCTAGATACTGGAAAAGAGAATCCAATGGCTTATATGTTTATCTTCCACCTTCCCCACTTTACGTATCACATAAGAACATTCGAGATGATTTCTTATGCAGAAGAAAAAATTAACTGATCAACTATATTCAGAAAAAGGTGGGTTTTGGCTATGTGTTTTTACTTCACATATTTAATCTATATGAGTAACTGCTACCACATGCTTCCTCCGCAGCCCTTAGGTCAGAAACACTACAGACAAAATTATTTCAAAAACATTTTACACATCAGATCCTGCTAGGCGATAAAGCAATCATTAATTTAATTTTGTCCTCCCAGTGAATACACTAGGATCAAATTATCCCTAGTAGACAAGTGTTCACTTGATCAGACTGAAAGCTTAAGATCGCTATTTTACGTCGCACAGACTATCACCAAATGTATTAAAACTTTTAACATTACACAACTTGTTTTTAATTAATTGGAACCCACCTCTTTTACTAACTTCTTATATCCTCCAAAGTTTGGATAGATATTTACTATCACATGTCATAAGTTAACTGATCTGCATTCAACAATTAGGATCACCCACAGAACAGGCAATTGGCAGAGGTAAGGACTCACGTCTCCTAAGAATCTCTGTGGCCAGAGTCCAATTCCAGGACTGCTTAGAAAGTAATGACAAATAATGTGTTTGTGCCAATGACATCTTTGTGACAGTTTTGATTAGAGGGTCCTAGAAGACCTGAAAACATTCCCTGCTAGGGCCTGTAACACAATGCTGCCTTTAGTAAGAGGGATCTGTGTTCTGGTAGATAAGGCAAGGTCATAAAGGTGAATGGCTGACAAAGATTAGGAGAGCCTGCAATTAAATGGTAAAGGAAAAGAGTCCTAAATAATCACTGTTCAGAGCTTCCAGGTACTTGACTAACCAAAGAGACCCAGAAAACTTTGTATTTAATCTGAAAACTGCTTTAAATAGTGAAACACACAATCTTTGTATAAGTATCTTTGCATCTTTGTGTAAGTGCAAAGCACTGTACATATATTTGCAATTGTTGCCTTCGATAACACTTTTGTGATGATATCCAGATGAAAAATAAACATGACACAATAAAATATAAATAAATAAAATTAAAGATAAGTCACAAACCCATCTGCATTTCCCCAATGACTTGTTTCCTGAGAAGCAATACGCCACGAAATATTGAGTGGCTTAGGAGTTAGCTGGGCCTGGGTACACATCCTGTCTTTACCACACCTTGAAATCACTATGTGATTTCCATGAACTGACTGACAAAAACCACAAGGATGTAAGGAGGGTCAGAGGCTGTCTTCCTGTCTCTAAGGCTGAGCTCACATCCACCTCACAGGAGCCTGATGGAGATTTGAGACTACAACACATGTGCCGGGTACATGCAATCAAAAAACATAACTAACATTTCACTTCTCTAACAACAATACCTACATTTTAGATTGAAATTGTTTGAGCTTTAGATTTGAAATTATTTGAAATCAAGACTATTGTAAAAAGAAATCAAACATACGACTGGAAATCTAACATGAAGCACGTACAGACATTTGATACAGGCTTTTAAATTACACTGGTAGTAGAGAAAAATGTAACATAAATTTTTATGCTCTAATTATAAGAACGAAGGGCATTTTAGAAAAGGCGTTTCCCCCATCTCTTAGAGCCTTCCACTCCGGCCCCCACAATGCGTCACACAGCAAATCTGGGTCAGACTGGATGCAACCTGTGATTCCCAACAGAGACAGACAAAGCAAGGTTCAGGATGCTCCCTACCGGGAAGGAATGCCAAGGAACAGAAAAATCATGTGTCAAGAAGGAGGGAGTCATTCTCTAGATACATTTTAGTATATGTTTATCATGAAAGATCACTGGCTTTTGCTGAGTCTAAAAAATTAAGCCTTAAATGTTTTCATCAAATTCCAGCTAACTACCTGATTTATCTAGGTTATATTAACAGTATTATTTAGAATTTCACCTTGATATGAAGATGTCTGTGTAACTTTTACAATGGTATAAAACAAAGAGTAGGATTAGGGAGGAACCAGGCCAGTGCCTGGTGCAATGGATAACGCATCTGACTATGGATGAGGAATTCAGCCTGGAATAAGGAACTTTTATTTCCAGCTTAGTGACACACACAAATGGTAAAAATAAAATAAAAATCATGTTTTATGTGATTCATGTTTTTCCTAATGCAAAGAAGACTGGTACTATTAATAAAAATATTTTTTAGATGTGAGGGCTAAAGCCCCAGTAGTTCTGCTATGGTTTTTAATGTTTCATAGAGTTATTATCATGATGGAAGCTCAAGCATTACATAAATACAAACGCATATACCCCTGACCTGGTAATTCTGCTTCTGGAAATTTATCTTCAGGTCCACCCGCACATCTACAAATGGATGCATATTCAATGTTTTGTACTGCAGCACTGTGGATATGAGCAAAAGACTGGAAACAGCCTACATTTCCATCTATAAGAGACTAAACAAATTAAGGTACATCCCTAAAATGAATATTATGCGGCTGTTAAAAAAGAGAGGGAAAGAAAGGAAAAGCAAGAAAAAGAGAAAACTTCCTACGTTCAAACTAATAGTAGAAAACTCTCCAAGATACAATGTTAAGGAAAAAAAAAATCAAAGTCTAGAAGACTATAGAGGAGGCAACCTTTAGTGTAAAACAGTTGAAAATTATAAACATATTCATGTGTTTATAAAGAAATTTTAGGAGGCTATAAAAAAACAAAACCAAGGGGAAGAGATAGGAACAGGAGCTGGGACACAGGTGAGTAAGACGCACGGCAGTCAGATGTCTTCATACGCTTTTATTTAAAAATGTTGAACCACGTGTACATATTATCGATTTTAAAAATTAGATTTTAAAATACAAGCAAGAAAACAAGAAAACGAAAGCCTAAAAAGATCATGTAGAACTACTCAAAAGAGATAGTAATCCATGGAGATAACGGCAAGGTAGCTCCTAGATGCACTGATTTCTCTATCACATTGTACAAACAAGCCATCAAGTATGGGATTTATAATAAAAAATGAGTCCATTTGAAATATCACATTATAAAAAGCTATCAACTAAATCTTCAAAGTGACAATAAATGATGTTTAACATTTTAAAGAGATAGTCACATTGCATGTGTGAATGTAGTTATCTGTATAAAATGTCATAATTACCTTGATCATTTCTTCTTCTCCTGCTGTCTTACTTTTTACTTCTATGTCCTCAGCTTCATTGTATCTAATAAAGCAGCTATTTGAAGCCAATAAAGCCATTTTCCCCTAAGTAAAACAAAATAACAAAATAGAGAGCCATGAGGATACTTCTTGTAGAAGAAACGTGTTTAGACTGAATTAATTTTTCCTCTCTGATTTCAAAATCACAGAAAAGAACTTAGAGAAACCTGAAAAATATAATACAAGAACATGCAGAAAAGAAAACCAAAATGACTCATTATTTTACTGTTCAAAGATTACCACAATAAACATTCTTAGTGTATCTTCCTAGTAAGACTAAATTCTAATTAGATGAAGTAGGATTGCTTCCTTTCTAAAACATCTATGGTGATATAACTGATTTAGTTCAGTTTGAAAAATTAACTTTAAAGACAAGAACATAATTATAATTATGAATGCACACTTTATTCAAATACTAGCATTTTAAGTACAATTTATTTTCCTCACAATTAGAAAACACGAAAAGGCATATACAATGCCTTTGGTGTTTTGAATTTAAGAATCAATGTCTGAGGGACTTTTGTGTGTGAAAATAAATATTCATATGCTTTTTTAGTTGTTTAATGTTTGATGTATTACACTGCTTTCTATTAAACAAAACTTTAAAAACTGATCTTCTTGTGTATCCAAATCTGGGTTATAAATTTGGTTAGCTTGATTCCCTTAACAAATATAATGTTTATTTATAACTTGTATTTGGTTGATTCTTTTGGAAAACTTGGAATACCATAACATTTAGACAAAATGTTTACAAATACAATGATTATAAAAATATGTATATATTTAATATAAATATGTATATATAAAATGTATAAAATATGTGATATAACTTATATCACATCCAGTTAAAAAAGTGCTGATAACATGGATTTAATTTCTTGGTCAAGGTCGCAAGGGCTGGTGGTCTCTCATCTGGATGGCACCTGCTGAGCCCTGGAACATGCTGCTGTGGTCCAAGGCGATTTAAACCTGTGCCATAGATTATTTAGCTGAGTCTTTTTGCAATAGAATTTTAAGACCCTCTTTCATTTAAATTTTTGAAACTTAGTGTCCTTCCTAAAAATAAAATAAAATGAACTTACCTAAAGTGTTGTATTATTAGAACTATCTCGCTCATCATCCTGGCCTTACGATACATTGGCCTTTTCTACTGGTGTAACTTTTATTAGAAGTATCTCATCGTAACTAGTAGGATCATCTCAAAGGGGTTGCAACACATTAGTGGGTCATGAAATCAATGTAGTGGTTCCTGAATGGTACTGGGGGGAAAAAGAAAAGGGAATACTCACAGACACACAGAGGAAGGGGTAAAAAAGAATGGGAAATATCAAGCTGCATAACACATGAACAAATAAGTATTGTTAAGTACAACTCTTGCTTCAGTTATACATATGTGTGTGCTGGGCTGCAATGTAAAAATGCATTTCTCAATGGGTTGCGTCAAAATAGTTTTCAAGTCACTGACTTAAGATTTTATCCCAGGGGATGAGGAGATTAACCCCAGTGGATAAGGAAATTGGTCTAAGTGATCACCTCTTTCTGGGGGGATGTTTGTTTAATTTGTCATATTAGAAAACACTGCTGAGTTCCTATTTTCAGTTCCTGATTGTATACCACCAAAGCGCTACTCAGAGGCTGAGCTTATCTTCCACTTGCTTGTGCCCACTGGTCCTTACTGGTTTTGATATAGTTACCTACTTTTTAAAGACTGTTTAGCACTCACATACTTTTGTTCAATCTTTACTTCTCACACAAACAGAGAAAGGAAACTATGTATTCCGTACCAACAAAGATTTAACAAAACATTCATATACTACAACTGTCTACTTACCAAAATTAAGAATATTATCTTTTTTCTTCTTTTATATTAAAACTATCTTTTCGTACACTATTTTAAGTTTATGAACTGAAAGCCTTTTAGAGATAATTTACTTCCATGAACTATTATTATTTATTTTATGCACAAATTGTCACAACTTGGTCTCAGCTTGCTCCACTGTTCGCTTACAGTCTCCAATGTTTCTGAAAGCATCCATGATTTCCGCTACGAAGAAGATACTTAGGAACTATTCTGTTTTCCTGCTCTGAGACCTAAAATTGACTGGTTCTTTAACAGAAATGAGATCCATATCTAGGCACTAGGGTAGAGAGAAATAATCGTGGGCAAAAGTACTAATGCTGTTTTTGTTGCACTATATTTTGAGATCTCTTTAAGGCTCTACGTGCTTATTGATTTGCTCCAATTTAACATATTATACTATTGCATCCTACTTTTTCTTTTTAAATATATTATCATTGACTGTTACAGACTTTCTGTTACACTGACAGGAAGTTTTTATAAACAGTAACAGCACTTACATTTTGAAAGACTGGTTCCCATTGTTCTCTTGGTCCAAATGCATCTGAACGCCCAACAACAAGCCCATGTGAATTGATACCAAGATATTTCCCATAGCCAGATTTCAGGGCAATTCTGTATATTAATAAGATAGATAAAAGTTAAAAACTGAGAGGAAATTAATTATAGAACATCAAAACAGGACATGTGTATGTGTGCGGGTGTGTACATATCTAAAATTTCAGGCTGGACGTATTCCAAGTGTTCAAAAGCTGCATGCTGGCTGAGTGGTGACTCACTCCTGTAATCTCTGCACTTTGGGAAACCAATGGGAGAATTGCCTGAGGCAAGAAGTTCAAGATCAACCTGGACAACACAGTGAGACCCCATCTCTACAAAAAACTTAAAAAATTAGCTGGGCATTGTGGCGTGCACACGTGATACCAGCTACTGGGGAGGCTGACACAGGAGGATTGCTTGAGCCCAGAAATTTGAGGTTATAGTGCGCTATGATCACACCACTGCACTCCAACCTGGGTGACAGAGTGAGACTCTGTGCCTTAAAAAAAAAAAAGCTACATGTGACTAGTTGCTGCCATATTAGACAATGCAATTTTAAATTTATAGTTTTGTATTTTGCTTTTTTAATATAAACATTGTACTTACATATTACATAACAAATATTTTCCAAATTCATCATTCTTCAATTATACTTCTTTAGTTATAAAATTCAATAATAAATTATTAAAACTTACTTCTCTTATTATAAACAGTTCTATTTACATCTATTCTGTACATAAAACTGATTTATCCTTAGAAAAAATTCCTAGAAATAACTGGATCGAAGAGTATAAACTATAAAGTTCTTATGTCATCAAACTGTTTTCCAGAAAATGCTGTTTCAATTTACATTCTTACCTCAAAAGAGTATGTTTTGTATCACGGATTTTCTTTTTAAAACATTATGACTTTAAAAAAATACTTGAAAACCTGATATGGAAAAAACAGTATCCTATTAATTTGCATTTTAGTATTTAACTAGAATAACAATTGTTTTTCTTTTCCTTTTCTTTTTAGTTTTTAGATTATCTGTTTATGTCCCTTGTCCATTTTTCCATTGAGGTGTGATTATTTGCAGTTTTTCGACTGGGGTCATCAGGGCTATGAATTCTGTACAAGATACATATGAAGAGTAAGAACCCACTGCCTATTAAGATTGTTGCAAATATTTTCCTCATTTGTCAGTTAATTTTCTTTATAATCCTTTTTTGTTTATAATTGTAAAGCAGTTTAAAACTATTGAATTTTTTCTTCCTCTGCTTTTATTCTTTGTCTTTCACCATACTTACCAGACTTACAAAGAAAATATAAAAATAATCATCTTAATGTGATTTTTTAAAACTCTGATTTCTAATCTTTTACCTTACCGAGACTCTCCTGGGATGCCAGAATTGACTTTTACTCCTTTATACGTTAATGATTATATAACAGAAATCATTATCATATTGATGTAACCAATTACTAAAATATGCAAATTCACGCTCAGTATCGTCTACCCAAAGAATCATTCTATGCTTTTGCACAAGATGAGAATAACAAAGGTTACTTTGTAAAATGACTGTAAAAATAGTGATTAAAAATATTCTTCTGGTCATTATGACTCTGTAACATTCTCTGCTGGTTTCAACAATATCCCTTTTTTCAGTCTTCCTGTTTGTCTTTGGACTTCCCTACACTGAGTTTAAATATCATAGCAACAGTGAACCAGGTTTTGTACTGTTTGATTTCTTTTTTAATCTATCTTATTTGGTGTGTGAAATTATTAGTCTTCATTTTTTAACTTACATATTTTTTTTCCAGCCTAGTATTATAGATTGATGGGAAATCCACTAAAAGTAGATCACAAAATCTACTTTTCAAAAAAGTTATTTTGTTTTTTATATCAAAATTACTCTGTGGGCTTAAGACAGACACTAAAATTTTTAATGAATACAATTAAATTTTTTAAATAATTGGTTACTAATTATATTACAACATAAGTTCACCTGGAATCGGATAATTTGACAGTCATCAACTGCTCCAGAGGACTAGGGCCCTCATCAACTATTGGAGAAAAAACATTTGAAAATAAATTTGACATTTGCTATAAGGATATCATTTTGCTTTAAAAAGTGTGGCTATTTTCTTCTGCAATTAAATGTAAGAATATTCAGATATACTGATGTCACTGTAATACTACATCTTTGGAATCAAGATCCATTTTACTTTCTTTTAACTATAGCACTAATTTTACATATTGAGTAAGACAGGCTAACATAATGCTTATTTAATAACTTCTGAGATATCTTCTCTTTATGTTTTAAAATACAGTCATAAATAAGCACTTATTTTAAAAACTAAATGCTTTCATTTATTCAAGGGATGACCTTGTTGACCAAATGATACTGCTTTTTATCTTCTAATTACTTTGTATCTCATTAGTGCTTCCTCCAATGGGCTAAAGAAAATAAGGAAACTTCAAATTGTTACCTACACCCAGGTTAGTTTTGGCAATAGGTCTGAATAAAAAAGAAATTCAAACATTTTGACTCAAGTAGGTTTTCTTTTTTCTTTCCACTTACTATTTTAATTATTCATGTTGTTTCGATTTCCAAAGATACTCTTCTGGAACTACACAGAACGTTTTCAAATGCTTATATTAGAAAGAGGGACTTGCCAATAGCTGGTAAATATTAAGGAAGAAAAAAGTGGAAGAGTCAAATGCAATAGAAAATTTGGAAAATTTTAGAAAAATTTCCTTTGGAAAATGTCTGAAACTAGTTAGAGTTTGGCCTAAGTGAATGAATGTCCTAAAACCTACACTTGTGGCAGCCTCTTCCCTTCCAGACGCAAACCTTCTTTGTGTGGAGCTCCCAGGGTAAAAAGGCCATTGTCGAGTGCATGTATATAGGTTCCCTTATCCATTTCAGTGGCCATGGTTCCTGAAATTTCACCAAAGTTTGTTACTGTCCACCAGATTCCTAAAAAATAAAATCAATATTTAAACTTTGCATCTTAGTTTTGACACAGAGTTCTTTTTGTGTTATTATAACTTAGTTTTAAAAACTTTTTATTTTGCAGTTGTAAGAAATAAGACAAAGATCTCACATATCCCTTACTCATTTTGTCTCACTCATCTCGCATAAGTACGATACACTGTCAGAATCAGGAAACTGACATTGATATAATCCATGAACCTTATTCAGATTTCACCAGTTTTACATGTACTTGTTTGCATGTATGTACACAGATTCATGCGACTACCAGCACAGTCAGGATTAGGTTTTTAAAATACAAAATAGCAACATACAGCCAGGCATGGGGGTGCATGCCTGTAATCCCAGCTACTCGGGGAGCTGGGGAAAGAGGATCACTTGAGCCCAGGAGTTCAAAGTTATAGTGAGCTATGATCTCATCACCGCACTCTAGCCTGAGTGACAGAGCAAGGTCCTGTCTCAAAACAAGACCAAAACAAAAGGCAACATGTGAAGGTGCAAAGTGATATCCAGAGAACGGTCTCTCTCATGATAGACCCCAGCCATCTATTCACGCCTGCTTTCCAGAGACAATGCCCATCATAATGTTTCTTAGAAATGCTCCTACAGGAAGACTTTCTAGCATAGTAATCTTTTTTTTTTTTTTTTTTTTTTTTTTTTGAGACGGAGTCTCGCTCTGTCGCCCAGGCTGGAGTGCAGTGGCACTCTGTGGTTCACTGCGACCTCCGCCTCCCAGGTTCAAACAATTCTCTGCCTCAGCTTCCCGAGTAGCTGGGGCTATAGGTACTCGCCACCACGCCTGGATAATTTTTTCGTATTTTTAGTAGAGACGGGGTTTCCCCATCTTGGCCAGGCTGGTCTTGAACTCCTGACCTCGTGATCCACCTGCCTCCACCTCCCAAAGTGCTGGGATTACAGGTGTGAGCCACTGCGCCTGGCCAGTAATCTTAACTATGATTTTAGATTGAAAGCAAAATAAGCAGATTCTATGTCTATGTATACTAATTTCCAATTTGCCAACAGAAATGTTAGACTCTAGGAACAATCAGTTAAGCAGTTGTTATAAAAGATTATATCTTAATGTTAAAAAATATCCTCAAACCCCCTCCTAAATTGTACTTTAGCTAGAGCAGAAATAAGTCAATCATTAACTGGATATGACATATTAAAGAATTCTTGTTCATTTTACGAGGTCTGATAATGACATAGCGTAATGTATAAAAGAACAAAACAGGTGATGAAAGACATACCATGTTAAGAAATGTACATTTATGTACTTATGGGTAAAATGCCATATCATCTGTGATTTTACTTAAAATTTTCTACAAAAAAGTGTGTGTGTGGGTGTGTGTGTAAATGAAATGAGATTGGCAAAATACTGACAATTAATGCTGGGCCCTGGGCACATAGGGAACTCATTATATTCTTCTATGTATGGATTAGTTTGGATATTTCCATAATAAAAAGGTTTTAAAGATTCAGTTAATTCCACTGCACAAAATTTTCTATTCAACTAAACATTTCATGCTTTTCATAATAAATTTTAAAATACATAAAATTTTAGCTAAAATGAAGTTGGACCCTTACTTAACACCAAATACAAAAAGTAACTTAAAATAGACTAAAGACCTAAATGTAAGAGCTGAAGTTAGAAACCTTTTAGAAGAAAATGGGAAAAGCTTCATGACCATGAACTTGGCAATTATTTCTTGCATAGCACATCAAAGGCACAGGAACAAAAGAAAACACAGACAAACTGGACTTCATCAGAATTAAAACCTTTCGTGCATCAAGAACCACTGTCAACAGAATAAAAGGCAACCCAGAGAATGGAGAAAATATTTGTAAACTGCATACGTTATAAGGAATTAATATCCAGAGTATATAGAGAACTTCAAAAAGACAAACATCACAACTCAGAACTGGGCAAAGGATGTACACAGACATTGCTCCAAACGGCCAATGAGCACTTGAAAAGATGATCAGCATCACTAGTTACCAGGGAAATGTAAAGCAAAACCATAACACAATACCACTTCACACCCATGAGAACAGCTAGTATCAAAAACACAAAAAACAAAAACAAAAACCAAGAAAACCAGAAAAACAAATGTTGGGCAGGATGTGGAGGAACTGAAACCCGACGCAATGCTGGTGGGAAAGTAAAACCGTGCATGGATTTAAATGCCACTGAAGTGTATACTTAAAAATAGAAAAATTGGCAAATCCTGTATTCTGTGTATTTTACCTCCACATACACACAAAACCAATGGAGAAAAAGAAAATCAAAATTAAAATTTCAGCTAAAGATGATTAGAAAGCAATAAAACTAACGAGCAATTTAGACGACTGAGTTGTCTTATAGCTACAATTGTTTTCAGTAAAAGAAATAATGCTTTATTCAGAATCATTATGAACAGTGTTATGATTAGCAGGTCTTTCTTATAAATGTAATAAAGATTTTAAATTTGTTTTATTTTGTATGTTCTATGCCACGTTGACCAAGTACACTTAATATTAAATAAAATCATTTAAATATAGTATCTCATTAATGTTTTGCAAATGAAGAAGAAATTTCTGGCAGACAAGCTCCTCAAAATTTTCACACTCTGTCCAAGTAGGGAAATGATACAGCAACATTACTTACAATATTGTGAACTGAAAAAGAAATTACTTTGAACAAATGCCAGTATTTTTTCTCAATGGGATTTCAAAGAATAAGAAAGCTAAACATAGTATCATCAAGAATTAAATGTGAGCTAGTCTGCCTATTTTCAGCAAGTCGTCTACATTCAACCCTTGGAAGTATGCTTGTATGCTTAGCGACTAAAGTAACATAACATGATACTTATCAGTGCCACTCTGGGGGTTTCAGCTGTGAAATAAAGTTCTTTATCATTTATGTCTTTTGCAAACATCTTCTCCCTGTCTGTGGCTTGTATTTCAATTACTTTAAGAGTCTTTGACATAGCAGAAAATGTTAATTTTATTAGAGTCCAGCTTATTAATTATTTCACACATTGCACCTTTGGTGTCATATCTAAAAAGTTATTACCAAACCCAAGTCTCTTAGATTTTACCTTATCTTCTATGAATTCTATAGTGTTGCATTTTACGTTCAGATCTGTTATCAATTTTGAAAGGCAAGAATACTTCACTACTATACTAATGAGGACAGTGGCTGTGTGATCTGTTTTAATTTTTTTGAAAGATGTAAGGTCTGTGTCTAGGTTTATGCTTTTCTTTGCATGTGGATGTCCAGTTGTTCCAGTACCATTTGTTAAAAATACTGTATTTGCTCCACTGTATTGCCTTTGTTCCTCTGTCAAAGTTTAGCTGACTATATTTTGTTACTGGGCTCTCTATTCTGTCCCATTGATCCTTTTGTTTGTTCTTTCACCAATACCACACTGTCTTGATTAATGTCGATTTATACTAAGTCTTGAAGTTGGATATTGTCAGTCTTCAACTTTGTTCTTCTAATACTGAAGTGGCTGTTCTGGGTCTTTTGTCTCTCCAAATAAACTTTTGAATCAGTTTGTTGATATTAAAAAAAAAAAACTTGTTGGGATTTTGGTTGGGATTGCATTGTAAGGAAACATCTTGACAATATTCAGTGTGCCTATCCATGAACATGGACTACCTGTCTATTTAGTCTTCCTGTGAATGAGTTTTGTAGTTTTCCTCAAGAGGTCTTGAACATATTTTGTTAGATTTTATGCCTAAGTATTTCATTTTGGGGAGTGCTACTGGAAATGGTTTTTATTATTATTTTTAGTAGAGATGGGGTTTTGTCATGTTGGCCAGGCTAGTCTCGAACTCCTGACCTCAAGTGATCCACCTGCTTGGCCTCCCAAAGTGCTGGAATTACGGGCATGAGCCAGTTTTTAATTTCAAATTCTACTTGTTCTTTGCTGGTAAACAGGACATTCAGTGAACTTTTGCATATTAAACTCAATTCTTTTGGATCTTCTACATAGGCAAACATGCCATTTATGAACAAAGTTTATCTTCCCAATGAATATGTATTTTATTTTTCTTGTCATAATTGCATTATCTAGGACTTCTAGTACAATGTTGTAAAGAAGTGGTAAGAGGAGATATCCTTGTTTTTCCTGATCCCCTTTCTGGATCTCAGTGGGAAAGATTTAGTTTCTCACGATTGGATATGATGTTAACAATAGGTTTTTTTGTCCATATTCTTTATCACGTTGAGGAAAGTCACCTTTGTTCCTAGTGTGCTAGGAGCTTTTATTATGAGTGTTAGATTTTGTCAAATGCTTTTTCTTTTTCTTAGCCTGTTAATGTGATGAATTACGTTAATTGGTTTTTCAAGGTTAAACCAGCTTTGGATATGTGAAATTCCATGTGGTTTTGGTGCACAATTTTTTTTTAAACATTGTTAGATTTAATTTGCTAATATTTTATTGAAGATTATTGCATCTATGTTCATGAGAGATGTTCTGTAGTTTTCTTGTAATATTTTGTTATTAAAATTATATTTGGTATTAAAATGATGCTGGCTCCATAGAATGAGTTAAGAAGTGTTCCTCAGCTTCTATGTTCTGAAAGAGATTGTAGATAATCGGTATAATTTCTTCTTAGATGTTTGGTAGAATTCACCAGTGAACCCATCTGGGCCTGGCACTTCCTCTTTTGAAAGGTTATTAACTGATTCAATTTAACAGATATAGGCCTATACAGATCATTTCTTCCTGTTCAAATTTTGGCAGATTCCATCTTTAAAGAAATTGGTTCATTTCATCCACGTTATCAAATTTGTGGCTATAGAGTTGTTCATAATATTTATTATCCTTTTAATGTCCATGGGATCTGTAGTTATGTCCCTTATTTCATTTCTGATATTGGTAATTTATCTGCTGTATTTCTTTTTTCTTGTTAGAGGCTTATAGATTTTCTCTCAAAGAACCAGCTTTTGGTTTTATTGATTTTTCTCTACTGATTTTCTGTTTTCAATGTATTGATTTCTGCTCTTTCATTATTTGTCTCCATCAAATTTAATTCGATGTTCTTTTTCTAGTTTTCGAAGGTGGAAGCTTATTGATTTCAGATCTTTTTTTTTTTAACATATGCATTTAAATCTATAAATTTCCCTATAAACATTACTCTCATTGCAGCTCACAAATTTTAACAAGTTTTCATTTTCATTTACTTCAAAATTTCAAAGAAATCTTCAGATTTCTTCCTTGAACAATGTATTATTTATAAGTGTATTGTTTACTATCCTAACATAT